CCTGAGCTCCTCCTGTCAGAGCCAGGGGCTGTGCTGTGTTAGGGATAAAAACAGTGACTGCCCATCCAGGTGTGCTTGCTTGCTGGACTTGTTCAGTAGCACATCCTAATGTAGAAGTAAAGTTTGCCTTGCCCAGGCACTTCTGAGCACGAGTCTGATTTCTTGAGGCCTCCCAGTATTTGAAACAGTGATCCTCCCACCTCAGCCTCCTTGGTATCAGAGACGAGGAATATGTACCACCTCCCCCAGCTAGGAATTTCAGGTTTTTTAACAAATTAACATGTCCATACCAACTCAAAGAAGATTTAACACCATTTATTATTTAACAGTGCAGTATAAATAATGTAATATTTCACATATGCCTAATTGGTTTCGTATCTCTTATGGATATTTCAGGAGCTCTCTGGAATATCCCAAAGTTAGTTCCCAGTCAAAAAAGATAACTTATAATTTGATTTTGAGGATTTGTTAACAATGTCCAAAAGCATAAAAACACTTGATCAAAACAGGGTCACAAGTCATTGTGAAATAACAGTAATCCATTTAACTAGCGGGATGATCAAAAAACTTCAACAGGTTACATGATTGTCAACAAACACTCAGCTCTTCTTTGGACTGAAGGTGTAGCTTAGTGGTAGACTCTGCCTTGAATACTCATCTTCAGAACAGCAAAACATAATAACCCCCACCCCAAGTTTAGCTGTTTTAAAGTTGAGAAGACTTACTATAGTAATGGAAGATAACAAAAGATCACACATAGCACAAAAAATTACCTTGATAAAACACAAAAGCAGTGTTTCCTCAGCCATTACTTAACAGGAAAACAAAAACCTGTCACTTTCTTGGCCCAATACTCCAAGAAAACTTTGTCATTTTTAACAGAAAAGACAAAATTCCAGTTTTGCATCAGTGTACTATTAACACTAAAGCTAATTTTCATAAAACCTAATAAATCCACCTTATCCAAGCTTTGATCACACAACATAAAATTTTAACCTTGTATAGCTCTCTTTTTTTAAGATAAAAACATGTGTTTTATAACTTACCTTATCAAACATTTTATTTTCCTTGAACATAGTTGTTTCTTTCCAGTGGCTTAATTACATATAATTTTTAACTCTTGTTAACCTTAATTTCTAGTGAATACTCACAAAAGCTGGTCTTAGATCAATATTCACTATTTCATAATCTACTCAAAACAAATTTTCATGTTTAACAGACCTAAATATATTTAACTTCCCTTTACCATATGAAAATAAGACACCACAGTGTGTCAACTTATTCTTAATAATTTATGTTTTGGTACTTTACTTAGAAATGATCCAGATATTTAATTTCACTTTAAGGTTTCAAGTAACGAAAAGTACTTTTGGGTGGTACTGGGGATAGAACATAGGAGTCCTCTACCACTGAGCCACATTCCTGGCCCTTTTTATTTTGAGACAGAGTCTCATTAAGTTGCCCCAGCTGGCCTTGAATTTGTGATCCTCCTGTCTTGGACTCCCAGTTAGGTGGGATTACAGACACGCAGCAAGGCATCCAGCACTAGAGATCAATTTCACAGAGGCTCCATGTTCTGTGTGTGTGAGTGGTGCTGGGGCCTGGACCCAGACTTTGGGCATGCCAGGGAGGTGCTCTGCCATTGCACTGCATCCTAGCCCTGTAACTTGGTCTTGAGGCTCCTGGACGGCTGGTCAGGTTGAACTGTAGGAGAGCCCTGCTGTAGCATGCCCTGTGAGCCCCAGAGGAGGTTTCACACTGGCAATGACAGCAGACGAGACTCACCACAGGACTGTATGAGCAAGTACACACAGGAGCCTGAGAGGACACTAACCCGCACAAAACAACTGGCTGGGTGCCAGAAAGATGAAATTTGGAATCCATTTAAGTTACATTGGTGGCCTTCTCTTACGATGGAATTCCCATTTCTGGGAATTGTGGTGTGTCCCCAAGGTTCATGTGGCCCCCAGGGTGAAAGTGCTAAGGTGGAGGGGCCTCTAAGAGGGGAGGCCTAGTGGGAGGAAGTCAGGTCTTTAATGGGGTTAATGCCCTACCCCCACCTGAGCACATTGTTGCTCTTTTGGGAAGTACTATGAGGGTGGGTGGTTGTGAACCTAAGTCCCTACTCTGCACACTCCTGCCATTGTGACATGTCCACCACAGACTCCTCTCCAGGGCCAAGCAGATGCTGATGTGCCATGGCCTTGAGACTGTGAGCTAAAAAATTTCTTTATAGAAAGTTAACCCAGCCTTGAGTGTTTTGTTATATACCTGCAATTCCAGCTACTCCAGAGGCAGAGGCAGGAGGACCACGAGTTCAAGGCCAGCCTGCACAACATAGTGAGATCCTACCTCAAATAAATAAATAAATAAATAAATAAACAAAGGATGGGTATGTGGCAGTGTTAAGAGCACTTGCTTAGCATTTGCAAGGCCCTGGGTTCACACACACACACACACACACACACACACTATCTGAAGGTCTTCCCTGACCTTATGAAACACTGCGAACAAACCCAGGCCAGCAGTAAAACAGGTGTCCAGTACAGGACCTGACACTATAGTCCCCATAGTGCTTGCTAGCAGATCTCTGCCCCATCACTGGGAGCAGCCCTGTGTGGGCAGCTAGCAGTTGCCTTTATAGGCAACGGTGGGAGTGACCCTTGCCTGGGATCTATACAGCGTTCAGCTTATGAGGGCACAGAAGGGTCTGGAGGGCATCTCCCTCCTCACAGCTCTTCCAGTGTTCAGAACCTCCAATTCCCACTCAATGTACTTCAGATATGTGGAGACAGATCTTCGAAGGCCCTCTGCCTGCTGCATGGTATGGACAGAGCCTCCCAGAGATGCTAAGACAGGTCATATATAATCCCACCAATAAAGAGAGCTTCTGCCGGACTCTCCAGGTGGGCTCTCTGAGAGGGGTAGTGTTGGTTTCTGGGCTGTACCTTCATGGCCACCCTGGGGAGCCAGGGCAAGAGGTTAGTACTACAGAGACACTGGGTGCTATTTGTGGGGCTCCCAAATATTTCCAGTGGTTACCAGTCTGTTTTGATACCAGGGATTGAACTCAGGGGTGCTTAACCGAGTCATGCCCCAGCCCTTTTTGAGACAATCTCTCACTAAGTTGCTGAGGCTGGCTTTGAACTTAAAATCCTACTGCCTCAGCCTCCCCAATCACTGGGATTACAGGCATGCACCATCATGCCCAGCAATCAGTCTGTTCTTGAGCATAAAAGTGTGTGCAGAAAAAACAGACCACTGAGGCCTGGGAACTGCCTGGGTAGCCACCAACATGGAGACTTTGTACAAAGTCCCTTCTTAGTGCTCAAATGTCCCACCTGAAGCCAAGAAGCCACCTGGGTGCATATACAACCAGCCAAGGCAGTTTATGCTCTGGTGGTGTCTTTTCATCATCACTGGAGGAATAATTTGTGATGTTACTGTTGAACCTCCAAGTGTTGGCTCTATGATTGAGAAATGTGGGCATCAGAAAAGAGTAGGCTTCTTGGTCTATACAGTAAATGGGCAATACATTATGGTAGGACTTGCATCCCACTTCCTGTTTACAATGGGAAGTTTAGGTTTCATAATCCTGGACTGATGCAATGCACCAACTATTCCAAAACTCAAGATATTTCTTCTGTTCATTGAATTCGCTTGTGTCCTACTAAATTTTTTCATGGCTGGAGTATTCATGAGAATTAAACTGCTGGGGTATCTGATGGGTTCTTTTGAAAGAAATCAGTGGATTCTGGATTTGCTCCTGTAAAGAAGTTTTAAAGGCTGTACCAGTCCTCTGCTATGAAACGTGGCAAAGAATAACAAGAAACAGTGCAAAAATTATCAAATGAAAAAATAGGAAGCATATTAAAGCTTGGGCTAAAATTTCTTGGTATTAGAGACAAGTTTATCAATATTTTTTTTTCCCTGACCTATTCTGATGTACCAAAGATGTCTTGATTCAGGTGCCAGTCACAAGCCCAAGCTCCTCACCTCGGCTGACTCACTGGCTGTAAATCAGGGTCCCTGAGCCTCATCAGGCTGGATTAACTTGCTTATGTGGCTCAGGGAGACATGTTTATCACCTTTATATGGAGGCTATTTTAAAGACTACAGATAAACCTCCTGATGAAAAAAAGATACATGGGATTTTGTGTCCCATTGCCACAGGACTTCTGTCCCATTGCCACAGGACTTCTGTCCCCCATACACTCCTGCTGCACCAGAAGCTGATGCTGGGACCATGCTCTTGGGTCTCATAACTAGAGACAAGATGTGATACCGCCAGAAACAAGAACTCATCCCCGACCAGACAGAACAGACCAGGGCAGAGTTCATCACACACCGAACCGTGTACCTAGGCTTGAGCCTCTGAATTTCTAGAAGCTCTGCTGCCTGACTACAAACAGATAAAAGCGCATCCTGACACGCCCATGAAAAGGGGTGGGGGGGGGGGGGGGAGAGAGAGACACAAATGGGATGGAGTCTCCAGCGTCCAGCCAAGAGTTACGTTCCGTGGAGTGGACGAGTGGGCGGGCGTCATTTCCACCTTCCAGTGAGCCCTGGAACCCGTCCCTTCGGGTTTCTGTGGAGGCGTCGCTGCGTGGCTCTACACCGTGGACGACCATCCAAGCCCATCCACCAACACGGGCTCCGGCCTGCAAACCAGCCTCCTGTCCCCGAAGGGCCCTGCACACCACCCGGGCCTCCAGTCTACGGCCAGGCGGGCGGCGGCCCTTCCCAGAGGCCGCCTTTCTCTCCTGGCCAGCGTCCGTTCCCTCGCCCGGGCCCGCGGGCGGATTCCCGAACCGCAGGACAGCCCAGCAGGTGCTCACTGGCCGGGTATTCAGGGCACCGCAGGCTACGCCCCCCAACTGCACGTTCTGTCAAGCTCACGTCACGACGCCGCGTCCACCAGCCCGGGTCACGTCGCGGCGGCGCGACGGCCCCGCCCACTCGGCCCTCGCCCCGCCTGTGGAACGCGTCACCACCGCGCCGGCCCCGGCCCCGCTCGTCAGTGCGGCCCGACGCACAGTCCGCGGCCGACCGCGGCGACGGCTCCGGGATTTCGCTGTGCTCAGTCCCTTTCCCGCCTGCGCAGCGGAGTCCGGACGCTGGCCTTTCGGGCCGTCGCCGAGACAGTTGCGACCGCAGGTTGTAGACGGTGCGGCGTGCAAGCCGGGGCGGACCGGGGAGCGGGCGGCGCTGCTCTGTCTTGAGCGCGTTGCTTTGTGTCGGGTGGGAGGGAGACCCGGAGTGGGTAGGGGGCTCGCCCGCTGACTCCCGGGCCGGGGGAGGGAGGTCGTGGGCGTAGCAGGTGAGGAGCGCGGTTTTCATTTTGGAGGCAGCAGGAGCCCTTCCCTTCTTCCCTTCTTTGAGTAGAAAGGAAGCGCGGAAAGAAATCTGGCGCCCAGAGTGCAGTCTCGAGACTCCGAGTATTGGAAATTCTTGGCCTCTACCTCGGACGCCCGTGCAGACTTCTCTGTGAATTGGGGCAGAGGAAAAGCGGCCTTGGGCTTCCTTTCTCTTCTTTAAGCAGGTATGCTAATCCTCACCTCGCTTTTTGTGAAAATTAGCAGGTGTCTTATCAAGGCCTGAGCCAAGCTCCAAGGTTAGAGCTCTGGCTCTAACCCACCGGAATGGGTGAGCCTGGGCCCTGGCACAGAGTCTGATTCAAGAGCTTCCAGAGTAAAGCTCTGGTAGCTGCTTTTAGGAAAATTAATCACAGGTCATTCTTTTTTTTTTTTTTTTTTTTTTAACTATTCTATTTGTTCTAATTAGTTATACATGACAGTATAACGCATTTTGACATGTTGTCCACAAATGGAGCACAACTTCTAATTCCTCTGGCTGTACATGGTGCAGAGTCACTCCAGTAGCATAATCATACATGTATATAGAGTAATAACATCTGTCTCATTCTCCCATCTTTCCCATCCCCACAACCCCACCTCTCCCTTCACTCATCTCTCCTCACAGGACATTCCAATTCAAGAATACCAATAAGTTAGTGGGATAGATAGGCAAGTGACTTGGTGATCACTCTTCCCTCTATCCAAGGAATTAACCAACCATAGATTTAAAATATTAAAAACAACATTTGAGTCTGCAATAAACGTTTACCAGTTGGTGTGTTTAGGATCACCGACTTCAAGGAGGAAAGTGGGCCTCCTGAGAAGTCAGTTCCCCAAATTTCATTGAAATCCATTCATCAGACTGTTTTTCAGAAAACTCACTTGAAATGCAGGTGCCCACCTGCAACTAACTGCAGTTTACCAATGGCACAGATGATTCAAAGTGAAATTGTGCCTACCAGCTCTGAGAAGTGGTTCTGCTTCATGCTTCAACAGGGAGAACCCCAGTGTGCTCAATTAGAATAAAGTTAGATCCTACAAGTTGAAACTGATTGCACAAACTGCTTCAGTTCTGCACTTGCAAGCTGTTCTCAGCAACTGCGTTGAAGGCACAGTTCAGGCCCAAAATATAAAGTTTGCTAGCAAGAGAGTCCTTTAAGATCAACGGTTTTGAGGAGGTTTCCCTCCCTTAGTATACACTAAATAAAATAGTATATTGCTTATGAGGCATTTTCATTCTATTAGGCTTTATAATGGTCTAAAGTATTTGGGAGCATATGTACAAGTCATATACAAGTACTACCATATGTATGAGGGACCTAAGACCTATGGATATTGGTATCTGCTGAGTGCTCCTAGAATAAATTCTCCACATATACCAAGGAACAACCTGGTATGCATGTCAGACACCTACATGGGTCTGTGATTCATTTCTGGTCAGGATTTTATGAAGAGCAATGAAATAGAAAAGCATTTTTGTAGAACTCTCTCCTTTCCTTGGCTAGCAGGTTACACACCAGGGCCAGTGACTGACCAAGTCCCTGAAGAAGAATGGCGGCTGTGGGCAACCTGCTTGGGTAAGCATGCATTTTCAGGCCCCTCAGGACTTCTGCCATGCCACCTCTCACCAGGACAGGACAATGTTAAGCTGCTTGTCCTCGTCAGCTCATCAGTGCTGGGAGACATGTTCCCTCAATTATCCACTGTTGCCTTTTCCTGGTTGTGGGGCCAGAGCTGTTTCCACTATGGCCTGTAGCTCCTCAAGGACCCCTAGGTGTGGATCACCAAGTGTTGCTGGCATCTCTGGCAGCTGGGGAATTCTCTGTCATGACAACATGATGTCTGGCTTGCCTGACCATGTTGGTACTCTCTGCCCCAGCATTATCCACTGACCAGCTCTTTCATGTTTGTCTGTAGCCTGCTCCAACAGAGTGCTGTGAAGGCAGCTGCCCCTAGGCTCTGCTGCCTGCACACATCTTCCTGGCTGGCTGACAGCAGCAGGGCTGTGCTCACTCGCCTACATCGCCAGGCCTATGCACGCCTCTACCCAGTGCTGCTGGTCAAGCAGGACGGCTCCACCATCCACATCCGCTACAGAGAGCCACGGCACATGCTGACAGTAAGCATCTATCACCAGGTGTTGCTAGGGGCCCTGATGGAGGCTGAACCATGGTGGTGGGACCTCTGGCCACTGAATGATGACAGGTGTAGCATGGTCATTGTAATGCAGTACCAGAGGAGGGGGACAGGTTGCTGGAGGAGAGGAGGATGGTTTAGACCAGAATTCTCTCCATTTACCAGATAGGGTAAGTACGTCACTGTCTTTTAAAAACACCAAATCTGGGGAAATGGAGCAGAAAAAAAAGTCTCCTAATAAAATGAAAGGTTAGTTGGATGCGGTGGTACAGGCTTGTAATCTCAGCATCTCAGGTGGCTGAGGCAGGATCACAAGTTTGAGGTCAGCCTGGGCAACTTTAGCAAGAGTGTCTCAAAAAGGGCAGGGGGTGTAGCTTGGTGGTATAGCGCGCAGGGGGTGTAGCTCGGTGGTATAGCGCGCGTACACACACACACACACACACAGAAAAACAAGATTTTAAGGGAGAAAAAAACAATGTATAAAAATTGGACTGAGGCCAGGTAATGCACACCCTGTATTTCCAGTGGCTTGGGAGGCTGACATAGGAGAACAGTGAGTTCAGAGTCAGTCTCAGCAAAAGTGAGGTGCTAAGCAACTCAGTGAGACCCTGTTTCTAAATAAAATACAAAATAGGACCGGGGATGTGGTTCAGTGGTTGAGTGTCCCTGAGTTCAATCCTTGGTACCAAAAAAAAAAATTGGCCTGAGGATATAGCTCATTGGAAGTACAATGGTCTAGCATGCACAAGGACCTAGGTTTGATACTCAGCACTGAAAAAAATAATTAAGTTAGCTTAGTGCAAAAGACACAGGCAACTGTAAGTCTCAGTGGCATCATCTCAGTAGTTCTATTTCTCAGAACAAGGTATGGGGGCACACCTTGGCCTCTCTCCCACTCAGATGCCGTTAGACCTGGATACCCTGTCTCCTGAGGAGCGCCGGACCAGGTTCCGGAAACGAGAGGCTCAGCTCAGACACAAGGAGGAAGAACCAGAGTTTGCTGATGACTTTGACACAGAGCGTTACAGACAGTTTTGGATCAAGACTAAGAAGTGACAGTGGCTTGAAACTGCCCGAGGACAGTCTGAGGATGGAAGGACATCTTTTTGTAAATTGCATGTACCTGAAATCACCACCTCTTGTCAGTGTCTTCCTTTAGGTGTGTGCCCAGCATAATAGCTCATCACCTCTCACAGACTCAAGCTGGATGTGGTGGCTCAGGCCTGTAATCCAAGCAACTCAGGAGGCTAAGGCAGGAGGATGGCAAGTTTGATAGGCTGGGCAATTTAGCAAGACCTTGTCTCAAAGTTGGGAGTGTAGCTCAGTGGCAGAGTGCCTTTGAGTTCAGTCCCCAGTACACACAACAGGGACATACACATAAAAGCTCAGAGCTGGATGGGGCTGTGGGGCTCAGAGCAGATTGGAGGTTTGGGGATGGGTTTAGGTGAAATCTGTGACTTTTAGATAGAGCTACAAAGCCACAGAGCATGTGGGCAGCCAGGGAAGGAAGCATCCAGAAACCATCAGCTCTACCCTTCTAGTCTCAGGAGCACTCAGGGCTGTTGCTCCAGCTGGGTGTTCTGGGAGGCAGAAACTTCTAGGTTGCAGCCTACAGCTGCCTCCCTTCACAGGTGCTCCCTAACACTAGGAGCAGGCACATCCCCAACCTAGCAGCCTCTGTCCCCTGATAGGGGAACCATGCAATGTCCAAAACCAGAATGTCTGCATTTTTGGGTTTGGTTACATACAGCCAAGGCCTGTGAACACATACCTTGTGTTCTGTACTCCTGATATAGGTAAAATCTAACTCTCTCCAGATGCCAATGTGCATCAAGCAAAGGAGGACACAAAAAAGGCTTGTGCCCGTCCTGGGTCATCCCAGGTCCTGGTTCTGCTCATCCTGTCCGTCTTGGGTGCTCTCAGATCCTGATCCTGCTCAAGTCTGTACCTGGCTGTTTCAGGTTTCGGTTCTCATTGTGACTGGTGGCCACTCCTCAAGGTTGCTTAGGCTAATGGCTTTGGACTATAGTTGCCCAGCCACATACCCCCTGTCCCCTCTTGGCCACACTCAGCACACATACTGTGGTCAAACACTATAACTGAGTTTCCACATACACCTGGCCTGGCCCCAGAAGTGGGGCCCTCAGGAGTTGCCTACCTTCTTGAGAGTTCTTTCCTGGGAGCCTGCCAGATGACTTCTCTACACATTACTATGGCCCACACTGCTGCCCAGTGCCCACTGCTTCCTGCTTGCCTCCCCTAGACTGCCCATGCCACAAGCTTCTACTCCCATGGGATCCATGTATTCTTCAGAACCAGGACACAAGCTCAAGGTTTATCCCAGTGCCTCACTTACTGCCCCTGTAGGTGCTCAGTGCATACGTAGAGTAAATCCATTGGGGCAGGGGGGTGGGGGTGAAGCTGTCTATTTGCGTTCCTATCTGAAAGTACCAGGGACTGGGTAAGAAAAACCACAGGACCCTGGGTGTCTGTTTTTCCCTCACTGAACCTGTAGCTGGAGTGGCCCCCCAAATGGTGGCAGAGTAATTCCCACAAAGGAGTGGCCTCAAATTTCCCAAGATAGGGTTGGTTGGGATCTGTGAGAAAGAAGCACTAACTGCCAGGGTGATGGGTCCACAGCATTTATTAGGAAACTGGTTATAGAGGGCTGCAGTTTATCTTCACAAGGGGCAGCAAGAGGTGGGGATAGGACTGGGGCTGTAGCTCAGTGGCAGAGTGCTTGCCTAGCACGTGAGAGACTGGGTTCCGTCAGCACCGCATAAAAAAGTAAAGGCATGCTGTCCTTCAACTACAAAAAAACGAGGCAGGATGTCTGCAACAGGGCTGTGGTGTGCAGTTACACAGGCACGCAGTGTTAGGGGAACTGCTTCAACCAGAGCCGCTTCCTTCGGGGTTTGGGCAACACCCTCAACACTGACGGAACTTTGCGCCTGGGGTCCGTTTGGTTAGGGGCGCCCCCACGCGCCGTGGGCGGGCTTGGGCGCAGTCACCGCCGCCACCGGAGCTCGTGGGACGCTCTGGGTCCTAGTGTAGTGTACACAGTGGCTTTCTTGATGACGGCTGTCGCACAGGCACTGAGTTCGGGTCCGTCCAGCCTCTACACAGGGCGCTCCGGGCCCGGCGGCCGTGAAGGCAGTGCGCAGGCGCGCGAGGCGACAGGGCAAGAAAACGCGCAAGCGAGCGGAGCGGGATTGAGGCTGTGCGGAACTCATGCTCAGTGAACGACGCAGTGGGCAGGCGCGCGTGGCCGAGTGGGCGTGGCGGCGATTCCGCAAACTGGGACGAGATTCGTGGTAGGGCGGAGTGGAGACGGCCCGGGTGATGCATTGCGCAGGCGCATGCGGCGGCAGGGGCGTGACGTCACGGCGCGCGTCGGGATCGGCAGAGTAGTCCGGTCTGGTGTTCTGCTGCCGCTGCGCCAGGCACGATGTTCGGCTCCAGCCGTGGGGGCGTTCGCGGCGGACAGGACCAGTTCAACTGGGAGGACGTGAAGACCGACAAGCAGAGGGAGAACTACTTGGGCAACTCGCTGATGGCGCCCGTGGGCCGCTGGCAGAAGGGCCGCGACCTCACCTGGTACGCCAAGGATCGTGCACCGCGCGAAGGACCGAGCCGTGAGGAGGAGCTGGCGGCCGTGCGAGAGGCGGAGCGCGAGGCGCTGCTCGCCGCCCTGTGAGTGAGCGGGACTGGAGGGCGGGGCTTAGCTGACCGGGGCGGAGCCGCGAGGAGCTGGGGCCTGGCTTGGCGGGGCGGGTCGCACCCCTGATTCCACCCCTGGCCCTCGTAGTGGCTACAAGAACGTGAGGAAACAGCCCACAGGCCTGAGCAAGGAGGTAAGCCGGGCGCAGGGCCCCGGGGGCCGGCGGGGGTCCGTCAGAATCGGCCGAGTGCCTACCGTCCTCTCCGCACCTGCAGGACTTCGTGGAGATCTGCAAGCGGGAGGGAGGCGACCCCGAGGAGAAGGGTGTGGACCGGCTGCTGGGGCTGGGCAGCGCCAGGTGAGGTGGGTTGGGCGGGGAGGGGGCGGGGCGGGAGTCCAGGGCCTTCCTCACCGCGCTGTCCCCACAGTGGTTCCGCCGGCCGCGTGGCACTGTCCCGGGAGGACAAGGAGGCTGCCAAGCTGGGGCTGTCGGTGTTCACGGTAACCCTACCCCCACCACACACACCGCTTAGTGCTCTGGGAGCCAGGGGGTGCCGCTGGGGAGAGCGTGGGGGTAGGCGGGCCAGGCCCCAACATCCCTGCCTGCCCTCCCCACGGCACTGCTTCCCCCGCAGCATCACCGCGTGGACAGCAGCAGCCCGGGCACCTGTCCAGCTTCCAAGAGGAGGCCACGCGCAGAGGAGGAGGCTGAGCCGAGGTAAGGCAAGGGGCCTGAGTCCCAGCAACTGGAGCTGCCTGTCTCTCATGTGTCCCCTGGGGAGTGTTTGTGGGGCTGCAGTGCTCGCAGTTGGAGACAGAGCCCACTTCACAGCTGGTGGGGGCTTTTCCTGCATAGGCCAGGCGCCAGCAGCCCTTGAAGCTACCCTGGGTTGGTCCCAGGCTGACCTCAGGCCTGCCTGCCAGGAGGCCAGAGGAGCTTGGCAGAGATTGGGGAGCCAAGTGGGTTGATGGGGAGGGCACAACTGTCACTTCAGAAAAGTGGATATCCCACTTAGTTTAGTGGGAGGTGCAGTGGCAGGACCTGAGATACCCCTAGCAGGCACTGTCCTGCAGTGCTTTCTTACCTAACAGGATGTTCCAGTCTATTGGCAGAATGTTACTGTCCAGTTCTTGAAATGTGGCCCAGTGAATGAGGAGCCTCTTAGGCTCCTTTACTACTGTCACAGAGCCACAAACCATGAGTAGGTGCTGGTTTCCACAGTGCAGGAGCATGTGGATTGCTGGTGGGACTGCCCTGGCCCCTCAGCTGGCTGTCTCCTGTACCCAAATGCTAGGCCTCTGACTCTTTTTATATTTACTTTTAAGCACCGAGAGCCACAAGAAAAGCAAGAAGGAGAAGAAAAAAAAGAAAAAGAAAAAACATAAGAAACAGAAGATGAAGAAAGACAAGGAGTCCAAGAAAGAGGCTGATGCCTCTTCCTCATCCCCTTCTCCTGTTCGGTAAGCCCAGAGTCAGCTTGCTCTGCCTTGGGGATCCAGTGCTGGCTGGGGCCTGATGGAGTAGTCAGGAATTCCTGAGCAAGGCCCTGGGGCTCCTGGAATCTAACAGCTGGGTGCCCACCCAGGGTCCTTCCCCTGAATATGTCTGGCTATCTTTGTTTCCTCAGATCTGGGCGCCAAAGGCATGATTCTGACTCCTCTTCCCCTTGCTGCAAGAGGAGGAAGCGGGGACATAGCAGGGACAGTGGAAGGAACCCATCCTACAGACGTCAGGACCGAGGCTCTGATGCTTGAGACTGCAGCTGGGTCAGTGGAGGCCAGAGCCTTGGACCCTGCCCACCACTGTACCTTGTGGGGCATGAGAGGACGACTGGATCCTATGTGTTCTGGGTGCCAGCTCACTCCTCCCACCCTGTTGGCCTGCTGGACCACCCAGGGAAAGGCCTCCTGTCTGGGTTGAGGCAAAGGCTGTGTACTGTGCCTGCTGGGCCATGTGAGCTGGCTGGCCAATTCAAGAGGAACCTGCTTTGTGGAGACTCTCCAGATTCCTGTGAAGGGAGTCCATAGAACTCAGCGGGTTCTGGGACAACCATCCCTGGTCTTGCCTGCTGCCAGACAAGATCTGCACCTGCCTAAGAGCCTTTTGCAGAGACTAGACTCCTGTGTAGCCATCCAGGCCCATCAGGTTTAGCTAAAACCAAGTGTGGTTATCTCTATTCCTTTTTGTATGGACTCACTCTTTGTACTTTAATAAATACCTTAAAACACAAGTGTGTCATCAAGAATGAAAGGATAGTGTGGAGTTTCCCGAAACCCCACTAAAGGGAGACAGTGGCAATGGCCTTGCATTCACAGTATGGTCTTGGCCTAGCAGTAGTGTGGAGCTGCCTGACAGCTGGGTAGCTGATGACAAGGTCAGGTGGTGGGGATACCTAGAGCCTCTAGGTACCTCTTCAACCTGCCCAGGGGCTTAGCCTGCCTTGTCAGTGGGCTAGACTGCTACACTGACCTGG